TTGATTGCTAAGCAGTATCACTTGTCAAAATATATGAGTAATGGTAATGTTACTTTGCATTCCATTTTTTTGTCTGAGGTCTTAAACCCATAAGTAATGCAATGAAACTGTAACATCTGAAGGAATATAGCAAGCTTTGTTGCACTGAATGAAAATGGCATAAATGGGAAGCATCTGTCATGTTTTTAAAACCAGTAGTTACAGTGTTTCTCTCATTTCTCAAATTGCTTTCAGATAGTTCTGCATTTCTCTATCAAATGTTAAAGTTATATGTGATTTATAAAACACTGAGATGATAAAAATATTAGATGTTCAGTTGTTTGTGACAAAACTATATGCTGGAAGAGTAACAAAATATTTACATGACATGAATACAGTGCAGCATGTCAGTTCTTGGCATCAAGACCTTATTTTAAAGCAGTGTTTTTGTTTGCTGTGTTATTGTAGGAAACATTTCGTAGGTGATTTTCCTAAGACAAGCTTTGAGCCTTGAAAATTGAGATGTGAAAGTAGCGTCTACTCTACGATGATGATCTCTAAATGTGTGTTTACCTTAAGACAAATAGCTATCCTAGCGATGGCTGACCACTTCCAAGATTCTAATTAAAAAATTGTAATTTCATTGAATGCTGGATTTGTACATAGCATGAAAGTGGCTCTTTTCTTTCTATAAGGAGAAGTGACAAAGTTTTTTTCCGGAAGGGTAAATGTATCTTGTTTTCTAACGTTGATTCTATTTTATCTCTATTTCTGATAAGCTGGACAAAATCAAATACATCAATATTAAATGTTTTATCGCCAGGTTTAGTATCAGCTCAGTCTTTGTCCCCCAGGCCAAATACACTTGTGCCTCTTTGAAGAGTTAAATACTGGCATAGTCTTCTTGAAACCAGTGGGGCTGTGAGTGAAAACGTGCCTGTGTTCCCTAGTGCTCAGAGAAGGCAGTTTTACAGTGCACTTAGAGCTTGTCCAGATACACCTCCATAGTTTACATGGTCGGATTTTAAGTGTTGTTTATATATATATATATATTTTCTTTTTCCCTTCAGAATTCCTTTTGCATTGCTGAAGTTCAGTCAGGGAAAATATCTAACATGACTAATACCCCTTCTCTTGTGAATAAGCAAATTGTGCAATTTGCTTTGTAAAATCACTGACAACAAAATGTTCCTTTGGGCTCAGCTCAGAAACATGAATCTTTTTGTTCTCACACTTGAAATCTTTGTTTTTGACATGGGCATCTACCACCATGAGGACTGTAGTTTCTTCTCTGTTTTTTACTTTACAGCCTAGAAAAAGGTTGCAGTGAAAATCATGTATATTTCCAACAGATGGACCAGATTTCTTCTTCTTCAGTATTCCTATTCTGGCTTCCTTTTGCCTCAGGTTTAGCTGCCACTTCTCCTCAAGGTTCATCTTGTCTCTGCACGTGCAGTTATCCCTTGTTCTCATTTCTCTTCCTTCTCCATTTCATGCCACTTACTCTGCTTAGTGTTTTCATTCTAACATATCTCTGGGATGTTTCCTCCCTCATTTTTTGTGCCACTTTAATACTGCCTTTCAAAATGCATCAGAAACTCCTGCTGACAGCAATATACAATGCTGTTTTCTTTCCATTTAAACTTTCACTTCTTTTGCAAAGCCCACTAATGATAATTACTCATGCAATAAAATGATTTTTTTTTTTATTATTTTTTATTTTTTTAAAAAGCACAGGGTATTCTAAAATGAAAGTCCTTTTGAGGTAGCCATCTGTCAGGTGTCAGTCTTGGAAAGTTGGTGCCTTTCTTTCATTCACATGCAGGCTCCCATTCATATCTGAGCAGCTGAGCACACCTTCTGGGCACACAGACTCCTGGAGAAGGGAGTGCACAGTGTCCTGCTGCAGGTGGGCACATGTCACCCCACAGGCTTGCACAGTCCAAAGATTCAGCTGAAAGTCACAGTCCCCAGCTAGGGTGTAGTGTTGCAGAGCCTTCCTTGTGAAACAGCCCCATGTGCTTCCCTGCTTACATGGACTAGTGCATGTTAGGAGAGGAGAAATCGGAGATGTGTTGGACAAACAGACAGCAGCTCTGTTCCCAGTTAGTCTGATGTAAGTATGAAGTCAGTGGCTTGCAGCATTTAAGAGTCTGTCCTGTACCTCGATACTCTCTGTAAGGGACTGTGGAATCATAGAATCAGAGAATAATTTTGGTTGTAAGGGACCTTTAAAGGTCATCTAGTCCAACCCGCCCTCCCACAATGAGCAGGGACATCTTCACCTAGATCAGGCTGCTAAGACCCTCATCCAACCTGACCTTGAATGTTTCCAGGGATGGAAAATCCACCATCTTTCTGGGCAACCTGTTCCAATGTCTCACTACCTCATCACAAAAAAATTTCTGCCTTTTACCTAGTCTAAATCTACTTTCTTTTAGTTTAAAACTATTACCCCTTGTCTTGTTGCAAGAGGCCCTACAAAGTTTGTCCCCATCATTCTGAGAAGCCTCCTTTAAGTATGTGAAGGCCACAATTAGGTCTCCCTGGAGCCTTAGGTCTCCCTGGAGCCTTCTCTTCTCCAGATTGCACAACCCCAACTCTCAGCCTGTCCTCATAGGAGAGGTGCTCCATCACTCTGATAATTTTTGTGGCCCTCCTTTGGACTCACTCCAACAGATTCATGTTCTTCTTATGTTGGGGGTCCCAGAGTTGGATGCAGTACTCCAGGTGGGGTCTCACAAGAGTGGAGTAGAGCAGGAGAATCACCTCCCTTGGCCTGCTTGCCATACTTCTTTTGATGTAGCCCAGGATACTGTGGCTTTTCTGGGACTCGAGCATACATTGTTGTCTCATGTCCAGCTTTTCGTCCACCAGTACCCCCAAGTCCTTCTCCTCAGGGCTGCTCTCAACATCTTCATCACCAAGCCTGTATCCATACTGGGTGTTGCCCCAACCCAGATACAGGAGCTGGCCTTGTTGAATTCTCTCTCATTCCTTGTGGGATGAAGTATGCAATCTAACCTGTCACATAAATGCCACCAAGTTCCACCACCCTGAATTTTCACTATGGCAATTCAGTAGATAAACACATATATTAGAATGTGAAATGAGACCGATCCAAATACGTTTTCTCCACGTATTGTTCAAGCCAAATTCAGAATTACTTTCTCTTCCTTTTATTTCTGCCTTTAGAAAAGCATCCTTTGTCCATCGGTCCTGTTCACCAGTGTTTGCAGAAAATCTTGGTTTTAACCAGCGTGGGTTGGTGGAAATGTGATGTTATTGGACACGGCAGTATGTCTGCCTGACAGTACCACCAGAGATGAACCTGTCAGGAATGTCTCTGCCAAAAAGTATTGCTCAAAGGGCTTTCTGTCAGACTACTTGACACTTGCTCATGAACTATGACTAACATTACCTCTTAAAACACTCTGTATATTTTATAAGCCATATGGCCCAAACTGACCTAGTGTTGCATAGGTATGAAAGAAAGTCTGGCTAGTTTTAATTACTTCGGACTTCTGAGCTTTACAATAAAAAGTTTCCATGGTAATGTAATTACTGTATTGTGATTTATATAATTTATCCTTATTTCCCCATGTTATTTCTGGATTTTTTCTTTTTCTTTTGAAAAATGATGTTTTCAGGAAAAAAAAAAAAAAAGCATAAATAATTAGTTCTGCAAAACCATTGTGTGTATTTTACCTAAAACCAAATTTGAAATATGTGGCCGTTAGGAGCTTAGAGATTTCACCTAAGGGTTTTGCTAATGGATCACTGGAAGCCTGTGAATATATATCTTTCTGCTCTTATGGGAACTTTGCAGCATAGTTAATAGAATTTGAATTAATAATCCTCACTAATGAGTTAGACCCTTTTCTCTTTGTAGTCCCTTTAGCACTTCCTAGCTGTTAAAAATGGTATGTATACAAAACAATATACATTTTGTATACATATAAAAATAGTATACATGTAAATTGCAGAGAAATGAAAGATTTAAATATGGCTGGGCTATCAGTTTCCCCTTACAGGAGCTGTCACTCAGTGAAATGATGACTGGTAAGCATGACACATGAAAGCAAACATGAATCTTTGAGCACAGTTTTCTTAAAATATTATTTTAAAAATATTTTACTGTAGTTCCACTGTAGGTTTCTTGAAGAAGTAGTAGTCAAATTCCTGGGCGTCTGTTCTTGGAAAAGTAATGCAGAAATTGTGCTCAGAGAATGATGCAGCCTGGGTGTTTAAAATACAATGCAGGTCTGCCTTTTGTGTGCCCTTAATCTGAAACCGGGTAATGCGTCAGTATACATTGACTTGCTATTCCATGGTCTGATAAATAATTGTATGGAATTGTTCTTAGTAATGCATTTTCTTAGGCTTTTTGTCTTGCAATCAGTGATTAAAATATCATTAGATAGCATGCACATGATATAAAACATGCAGAGCTTGCAGTTTCTTTCTTCTGACATAAATATTCCATCCGTGAAAAAGATGCAAGGTAATACAAAGAAATGACAAAACAAGAACATACCAAGGAATGTACACACAAGCATGTTTCTTAGGTCAATTTAAATGAACCCATGCATAAACCAGGAGAGTCTGAAGATGGCTGTGAGCTCTATCCTGATTTCTACCTTATTATATACTGAAAAATGATCTGTGATGTTAAGGTGGTTATTTTTGGCAACCTATATTCAATTTCCTATTCACACAGCAACTGGTGGCAACTAAAAATAATCCTGTTTTAGTACCAGCTAAGAATCTGGTCACATTTGGCACACGAACAACATGCACAAATAAAATTTAAGATCCCTTGTTCTGCTATTGCATTCCAGCCCACTCATCAAGCTTAGTTTGCTGCCATTTGAAAGCTATTGAAAAGCCATTAACTGGCAGGACTGTGAGAGCCGCAGTGCAGCAGCACACCTCAGTGCTGGAAGAATGTGGCTGCAAGTGCACACCAATTAAATCTTTCTTCTATTCCTGGAGATGTGGGATTAGGAGCGGTGTCAATCAATTGTGCTACAATAGCACGTGCAGTAGTCATGGTTCAAGACGCACAGAGGTTTATCGTAACTCCAGCAGTCGGGTGAGGATGACTTGGAAGCCTCTGCAAGATCCTGGAACAGAAACTATATTAAATAATGTATTCTGAGGTATACTGGATACCTGAGGAAGGGCTCTAAATAATGCATTTTCTGGGCATGACAGTTGTAGCAGAAGAGAATGCTGAAACCTGTAGCAAGACTACAGCCTGAGATGAGAGAATGTCTCATTACCATTTTATCAAATGCTGTAAGTAACAAAATGGTTATTTTGATTTTAAAACTGTCTTTTTTATTTTCTGAGGTGTGTCTTTTCAATGCATATGCAAAAAGTCAAAGGCAGATTCTGCATGATGTCAACGTGGTAGTGGGAAAGGGGAGTTGTTACTTTGCATGTGAATATGCAGGCAGAGCACAGTGTTTCTTTTGATGTTCAGAGGCAACTTCATTGTGTGTGTGATAAAGCTCTCATTCTGAAGTTCGTACTGATCCGCTTTAAAAACTTTTGTTTAAATTAATCGCCAAAGAAAATAATATCCAGAAAGAAGAAACATGTCATTCATAGTTATGTTAAAGACACCTATAAGGACAACCTCAGACATGGTTCTTACACTTTACGAGGGTAATACAAATGAGAATAGCGTCATAATTATGAGCACATCTCGTCATCTATTGTAAATCAAATGCTTGTATCCCCTCCTTGTCAGAATATTTAGATATTTGGCGTGACAGACTTGAAAACTAATAATGAACTTTTAACCTTGAATCATGCAAGCTGCCTCCTTAAAGACTGAAATTAGGATCTATGTTAAATGTATTGATTCAATGCAGTGAAAATTCCTAGCAGCATTTTTTTTTTTTTTTTTTTTGTCTGCCTATCAAGGCTGCTTGTCTTCCTAGCTGCACATTTTTTTGAGCTTTTTGGCTTTGCCTTTTAAAGCATCCAGGATCTGAGTGGAAATTGCTGGTTTTACATCAGATAAATTGTTTAAATACTTGTTTTGGACAGCCAGTATTAGTTTTGTTAGCCATGTATATTTTTTTTACTGCAGTACTTGGGAAACTTCAGACTTCTAGTGATTATGTCACTGTTTTTACATGACAAATAGCAGATTGCTGTAAAAGGTTTTCTCTCCAGGTTGCAGTCTTTGATGACTTAAGTGTACCAGGGACATTTCTGAAATTGTTTTTAAAATATTGTGTTACAGTTACAAATTGAGTAATGTGGTTCATTGATGTTTTAATATGGAATTAAGAACCCCTGGAAGTATTTTAGTAATTCAAGGAAAAATTATTTATGAGGATTTCCTCTTGTCTGGTTTCAGTGGGACCTGTGTATGGAACTGCTTTTACTACTGATGGGAGTTACAAGCCTAAATTCCCTGTTCATGCAGAGAAGAACAATTAGTTTTACTGCACAGTTTTAAAGGTGCATTCGAAGAATAAGTCTTTGAGCTTGTCATAAGAATTGATAAATGCAAATGAGGAATTTGTGGTATAATAACTATCTTGAAGATGTCAGAAAAGTATTGTTCAGCCTTTATTCACTTTGGGATGACTTTCTTCAAGTGAAACTGTAGCAAATGTATATGGGTATGTGTGTGTTTGACAGCATATTAAATATGTAACTCTACAATGAAACTATAGGTTCCTTAATTGGAAAGAGATGAGGATGACCATGAGGTTCTCCCATTAAAAGGAAGTGAATGATGACTACTTAGGGTGTTCACTGCATTGATTAGAGGTCAGGGATGAAGGACTAAAACACAGCAGAGGGAAATGTGATCTACAGCATTAGTTTTAGCGTATTATTTGCTTCCTCTTTTCTAAATTTGGAATTTTGTAATTAGTGATTTCTCACTAAATCAGGGTATTTTACCACATAGCAATTTTCCTTCCAAACAGTATGCTTTAGAAGACAATGACTGCTGGCTGGAGCCTGCTGTAAGGGTTTTTTACTGCCTGTGCTTCTCCATACAGAATTGGCAAAAGTGCTTCCATCTCCACCTGTGAAGGAGAAACACTTCCTCTGTGATCCTCCCCTGAGCCTTACAATTTGACTTAACATGCCAATAGTGTTGCTGATGTTTGTGTTTGGCAGACAGCTGGGATCAAATATGGGCCAGGGCTGCATGTGGGGTGGCAGCACCAGTGGTGTTCTGAGATCTGCTGAGAGCAGCTGAACCTCACAGGGCTTGGGATGTGACTCTTCACACCCCACTTTGTTTTTAATCCATTTCTCTGATGATTTCTGTATCAGAAGGAAAAGACATTGAACCAGAGAAAGTGTGTTTGCAGAGCAGTGTCTCTTGGTCTACTGTAAGGAAAGGGGAAGTATCTAAAACATATAAATTAATGGCACTTTAAAGCCATTATTTTATGAACTGTAGTGCTATGTGCCTGGCCTTTGCATGTGTTTGCACTGTGTTTTTTTAATCTCTGCAGAGATTAAGTGTGGAGATCTGAGTAGAAAAGAGCTATTGCTATTGTCCTACAGCATTAGTAATATTCTTTTGTTTTTTTCAGTGCACTTCTCCCACTAGAAGGCTGTGAAAATGCGATACGCTGTCGCCATCTTGTCATAGGATCTTTCAGGTTGGAAAGATCTGACCTTGGGAGGTCTCCAGTCCACCCTCCTACTCTAAGCAGGGGCAGCAGTGTGGACTGTCTGAGGCCATGCACAGTCAGGTCTTTCTTCTCAGTAATTCTGGGAAGCCTGCTGCAGCCTTCATGTTGTCTTCAGCTGGCACCTGCAGCATTTAAAACACAAGTTGTATGTGTGTCTGCCCGTTTGAGCAGCTCATGTTGTCACTACTGGTGCCCATCTTCTTTTTGCAGCCGAGTATTGCTGCTGATGAGAGCTGTCCGTGTCTGTGCTATTAACTTCTCCTTGGCAGTCAGCTAGCGTAAACTATTTAGAAGAGAGAACAGTAGTTCATAGGAGAGTACCACATGTTATCTGCCAGCTGCTGGGTACCATTTTATCTCAGTGATTTGTGTGACAGACTGTACAAATAAATGTAATTTTGCAGATTAGGCAGAACCGTACTGCTATCCTCTCACCTTGTATATCTAGTTATGACATAAATATCATCATTTACATATTATGGCTGCGGTTTTCCACCTGTGCTCTGGACTTCCTCTGAGGGATCTGCAAAGGTAACTGAGAAAAACAATACTTCAGTCAGGAAGCTTAAATTCATTACTTGAGATACTAAATTCCTCTGCAAATGCTGTAGAGGTGCATAAATGCAAACAGAATGAAAACCTTTCTAAGGAGTTCTAATCATGCCAGCTGAAAGTCTGAGCCAAGTGAATTTATCCAAATATTAGGATCATCATATCGGAACATCAGAGACTACTTCCATTCTTTCTGGATTATCTCTGTTTCTGATTCCTTTATCTCCTTTGTATGAATTATGAAACACTGAATTGTGCTTTGTTACAGACCAATGCTTACAGAAATCTGGGATGGAAATACTAATTAGACGTTTATTGGTGAATTTAATTCAGAATTTGAAGCAAGGTATAAAAAAAAAAAAAAAAAAGAAAAAAAGTAATTCTCCCCAACATCTAGCCCTTATAACCTTCAGCATCTGAACACATGGCAAGGATTGTCCATGAAGAAAATTAATTAGCATAGAAGATGCACTGAAAGATTTGGCTTTTAAATTTTGCTATATCCTCTTTAGGTATCTTGTAGTCTGTACTGATTTATTCCTTCTTTTTGCTGTCTCCCAATCATAGTATTTTAAAAAAAACTATATACCACAGAGAATTTTCCTTACATTAAAGAAATTTTAGTCTTGACTTTAGTGTGCAGTGCCAGAGACCCTAAACATATATACTGTCTTGAAAGGCAGAAACCAGCAGTAATGTATTTACAGATGTCATCTTGAGTATTTTTCACACTAATTCACACACTATTGATAACAAAATTACCGTCATATTTATGAATGAAGATTAAATTATGTAGGTTATGTTTATGATTTCTGTTTTATTTAATTTTACCCCACTTTTCCATAGCTTGCCATTTCAGTGCATTTTCTGTTTCAATAAAATTATTAGCTACTAGTACTTTCAACATAATTTGATGAGTGTTTCACCCATGGTGGTGTCTGTCCCTTTTCACCAGGGTTATGGGACAGACTGCATTAGCATTTTCCAGGATACTTTGGAGGACAGAGGCATATAATCCCAAACTTTCATTTAGCACTTAAAATTCAGTCTGTGTGCTTTTCCCAAGTGATTCAACCATTCTCGCATCACCCAAAGACTTCTGAGGCTCCAGACATGCCACAGCGATAGGTCTACCTGAACCTTATGCAGCTTGGAAAGGAGTGGGGAAAGGTGTGATATGATACATTAGTTTTAATTTACAGAGGATGGAGACTCGAACTTGATTCTCTCATGGATGAAGCGGCAATACTGTGGGTGAAACATGTGATACCTTTGTGTCAGTTTTCTTATCGTGAGACAGACAGACATCTGTGTTGATGTAGAGTGAGATTCTGCAGCTTAGACTAAATAAGAAGAGGAGGGAAGCCTGAAAAGAAAAATTGGAGATCGCTGTCTGGTCTGCAATATAGGAACCCTTTGCCTCTATGGTGGCACGTAAAGGATGTGTGATGACCCCAGTAACAGTGACGCATAAGTGCTCTATCACACTGGATCGTTAGTGACATGAGAGAACTATCAGAGTCTTCAGAGTGTTTTCTTCCTTCCATGAACAGGATTTCATCTATTTCCAATGTTGGGTGGGAGGTGGTATTCATTTGTTTAGTCTATTTTATGGTGTCCCAGAGAATTTTCATGTCCTCTTAGACGTGTCCTCTGCTACTGATGAGGAGCTCAGCACACAAAAAAGTAAAAAATTATGTGGGTGGTAGGAAGAAGAGCTGTAAATAAAAGCAGGATGTTTGTACCAGACCTTATTCAACAGTCACCCCTTTAGGTTGATATTTCATGATGGTGTCATGGTTTATTTCTGCAGTAAGACAGCTAAGTACAACATGGTTGCAAGGAAAACTTCCTTTTGCTTGTACACACTTATGACACTGTGACCTATAACATAAGGTTAAGATTATTACTGGAATGTGGTGCCTAGCATGACCGGGAGGCCCTGCCTTCTGAAAATAAAACTGGGAGGAGGAGGAGGAGGCAGGAATCATCTTCCCTGGGAGTCCAGAAAGAATGAGAGGAGCAGCTATGTGTGACAAGCCACTGCTTGGGAGTTTTTAGATTCTGTGA